TATCCAGGCCAACCATTCATTGTAGGAATCACAAGTACCTTGTCCTCGTTTCCCTTCTCACACTCTGCCTGAAGTCATCTACCTCTATTCGATGTCACCAGGTTCTTGTTCAGCTTGGCGTTTGAAGCGAATGTTGGACTGTTTTGGGAGATTTTCTCAAGTGCACTCTCGTGGGCGTCTTCCAGGCCAACCATTCATTGTAGGAATCACAAGTAGCCTTGTCCTCGTTTCCCTTCTTTCACACTCTTCCTTAATCTATTCTACCTCTGATTCGATGTCACCATTTCTGTTCAGCTTGGCGTTTGAATGGCGAATGTTGGACTGTTTTGCGGAGATTTTTCAAGTGCACTCTCGTGGGCGTCCTTCCAGCAACCATTCATTGTAGGAATCACAAGTAGCCTTGTCCTCGTTTCCCTTCTCACACTCTGCCTGAAGTCATCTACCTCTGATTCATGTCACAGATTCTCTTGTTCAGCTTGGCGATTGAAGCGAATGTTGGACTGTCTTGCGAGAGTTTTCTCAGTGCACTTCGTGGCGTCCCTTCCAGGCCAACCATTCATTGTAGGAATCACAAGTAGCCTTGTCCTCGTTTCCCTTCTCACACTCTGCCTTGAAGTCATCTACCTCTGATTCCATGCCACCAGGTTCTTGTTCAGCTTGGCGTTTGAAGCGAATGTTGGACTGTTTTGCGGAGATTTTCTCAAGTGCACTCTCGTGGGCGTCCTTCCAGGCCAACCATTCATTGTAGGAATCACAAGTAGCCTTGTCCTCGTTTCCCTTCTCACACTCTGCCTTGAAGTCATCTACCTCTGATTCCATGTCACCAGGTTCTTGTTCAGCTTGGCGTTTGAAGCGAATGTTGGACTGTTTTGCGGAGATTTTCTCAAGTGCACTCTCGTGGGCGTCCTTCCAGGCCAACCATTCATTGTAGGAATCACAAGTAGCCTTGTCCTCGTTTCCCTTCTCACACTCTGCCTTGAAGTCATCTTTCTCTGATTCGATGTCACCAGGTTCTTGTTCAGCTTGGCGTTTGAAGCGAATGTTGGACTGTTTTGCGGAGATTTTCTCAAGTGCACTCTCGTGGGCGTCCTTCCAGGCCAACCATTCATTGTAGGAATCACAAGTAGCCTTGTCCTCGTTTCCCTTCTCACACTCTGCCTTGAAATCATCTAACTCTGATTCCATGTCACCAGGTTCTTGTTCAGCTTGGCGTTTCAAGCGAATGTTGGACTGTCTTGCGGAGATTTTCTCAAGTGCACTCTCGTGGGCGTCTTTCCAGGCCAACCATTCATTGTAGGAATCACAAGTAGCCTTGTCCTCGTTTCCCTTCTCACACTCTGCCTTAAAGTCATCTACCTCTGATTCGATGTCACCAGGTTTTTGTTCAGCTTGGCGTTTGAAGCGAATGTTGGACTGTTTTGCAGAGATTTTCTCAAGTGCACTCTCGTGGGCGTCCTTCCAGGCCAACCATTCATTGTAGGAATCACAAGTAGCCTTGTCCTCGTTTCCCTTCTCACACTCTGCCTTGAAGTCATCTACCTCTGATTCGATGTCACCAGGTTTTTGTTCAGCTTGGCGTTTGAAGCGAATGTTGGACTGTTTTGCAGAGATTTTCTCAAGTGCACTCTCGTGGGCGTCCTTCCAGGCCAACCATTCATTGTAGGAATCACAAGTAGCCTTGTCCTCGTTTCCCTTCTCACACTCTGCCTTGAAGTCATCTACCTCTGATTCGATGTCACCAGGTTCTTGTTCAGCTTGGCGTTTGAAGCGAATGTTGGACTGTTTTGCGGAGATTTTCTCAAGTGCACTCTCATGGGCGTTCTTCCAGGCCAACCATTCATTGTAGGAATCACAAGTAGCCTTGTCCTCGTTTCCCTTCTCACACTCTGCCTTAAAATCATCTACCTCTGAAACCATGTCACCAGCCTCATGCTCAACTTGGCGTTTGAAACGAGGGTTGGACTGTTGTGCCAAGATTTTTGAGCGTTTCGAACGAAGGTTGGAGCTTTCTGAGGAAATTTTATAAAGTGCATTTTCATGAGCTTGTTTCAGGGTAAGCCAATTCTTGTAGGATTCACATGCAGCCTTGTTTTCATGGCCCTTTTCACTCTCTAGAATGAAGGAGTCCACGTTTGTATCAATTTTTGTGGGATTTGAAGTCATTGGTGTATTTGTCTGCGGTTCCAAGTCTTTTCTGATTCGTCTGTGTTTTTCTTGAGCCATAGGTTTAAGCGAATCCGAGTCGTGACTTGGTTTGCAGGAAGGATCGCCGTTGTCTGCAGGACATGGAAGCTGTGCACCATCGTCCATACCCTTAATTCCTTCGCTCTCAACTTCAGCTGGATTGAAAAGACCAATGTTTAGCATCTTTTTTCTTAAAGTGTACTAACAAACTTTCAAACTTTTTGTTTTATAGATTGTAAAAAGTCTTTGTAAAACGATTCCTTATGTTTTTAAATAATAAATTGCAATCAATTGTTTATTGTCCTCAGAATTACTATCTATAAATATGTCAAAGACTACTAATTTTGTAGTTTTTAGATTTTCATGATAATATAAAACTAAAATGTTGTAAAAATACCTGCTATAGATGACTTTAGTGTTGTTCCAAGATGAGTTTCATGATCAAGATTCCTCGTCCAGTTGTCCGGACCGGTGGCCTGAAAATATTCAGGTAGTTTACTGTTTTTATTAAGTTCAAAATCAAAATTCAATTTAAAAGTATACTTAAGAGAAACCATTTTATCAAGCTATGAATTGTAGAAGGGTGTTAATTGTTATTGGCTATTTTATTTAAAATGTCTTCCAGTACACTTGAATGCCGTTTCTCGGTTAAGATTACTTACCGGTATCGGTTTGGCATAGACGGTTTGGCGTCCACGTCCATCAGGTCCTGCTCCAAACAGGCAGAAAAGCGTCAGCAATGTTACCACGATCATAATTATCGTAGGAACACTTCGAATTTCACAGAAATTTAACCCTAAATTTCCACAGTACACTAGCAAAATGCAAGCACCCGCTCGTGTCAACAAATAAAGATTTGTGAAGTTGATTGCAAATGTAGCCAAATTAATGTGACGATTAGCGTCCAATCATACGTCACAATAGTAACAGAAGTCACTTGACATATCCTGGGTTCTGTGATTGGTGGAAATGTTGTAAATGAACAGGAGATGTCAATCACTCAACTTGTCGGAAAAGATAGCCTTTTTATCGGATGAAGAAAGATCCAAATTTTTTACGGTCAAATTTAGTACATTTAACGTGACATTTTTATTGACGATTTCACTACAATTTCATTCGATGTTATCAAAATGTATAATGACATCAGTAATTTCTGGCCATACATGAATTCTTAAGGGAACCTCTCCGTAAGTAGGAAACATGTAGAAGGCGAACACGAAGAAGAGATGCCCTTTTAATGGGTCAGACAGCCCTCTATTCTTTAGTTTAGAACATGCGCCTGGTACAAAGTCATTCTTACGCATGCACTTCAACCCCAGGACGGAGGGTTGCTTCACTCATTTGAAGATTAAAACATTTTTGGATAGTATACAACTAAAGATGAAATCCTTTAGAAGCTTTTCAATTTGTATTACTGCAGCCATCGAACAGCAGGAAGTGCTTAGACTAAAGAATAAGTGTGACGCCAAAACTTTTATTTTTATTTTGTCTATCCACGAAGCGTCCTTGAAAGTCTGAAGGTTGCCTTTCATGGATCTCCACTATCCTCTGCATTTCACTTTTCTCTTTAATTTTCCATACCGTATTCTCTTTAATGAGCGCCCTCTCTCGTTTAAGCGCCCTCTTTTTGAGCAAAAATTTGAATGACCGTCCCTCTGGAATGAGGGCCCCCCCCCAAATAGTATGAAAACAGATTAAGACCAGCAAATCGTTGAAATCGCTAATTTGATCCAACATAAACTCGAGTGAATGAACTTAATAATAAACAGAAATGTCAGACCTTGGGCAGAAGAACTCAAATGAAGACACATCTCGTCTTGAACAGCAAATGGTTTCGACAGCAACTTTATTTGTCTGCAGCTTTCGTTGAATCTCTCTACAAAACTACGCGACACGATATTTATATGATTACGTAGGGAAATGATTAAAATGATGAAAATAACGGTTCTTTTCTAAATAAGGTTAATGTAAATGTATTTTATTTTCTTGACCAACAGAAGTATGCTAGAAAAGTAACTGATGCAATGTATATGCACCTGGCACAAGGTACAATATCTGATGCAATGCCTGCTTGTAACCATCATGATACAGCGCATTGCGTGGCCCTCCCGAGAAATCCGACGGAGAGTGGTCTTAAACATTTTTCAAGTCAGGGTTTTTGGCAGAGATTTCATTGTTTTAATAGTCTGGCGGGCTGTAGTCTGTACTTAAGTGCCAGGAAACAAAGTTTACTGTATTTCTGGCTCTTCGAATCGATTTGTTAGAACACAAGGTTTATAAGCTGTTTAAATAAAAAAAACACAAACTTTGGAATATAAATTTTTGTAAAAACAATGATCGTTTGAATGTTCAAAGCTCAGCCTTTTATTGGTGGATTTCTGTCTATTTCAAATGAGTCCCCTCTCCGATGAGCGCCCCATTCTAATGACCGTCCGCTCCCCTCTCTGAGGCCAAAAATTAAATCAGCGCCATGGGCAACGAGAGAATACGGTGTTTTTTGGAATGGGTCTTTATTTTGATGTTATCTTTCCACATTATCCGAGTTCTACCCTTTGCTTTTTCGTTGCTTCCTGAGGCTTTTTCAGGCGTAGGTCCTGTCCTCAATTTATACGCCAGTCCGAGGCTGTTGAACGCGCCAAATTCTTTGCCAGCTGCAAGCCTTCAGGTGAAGACAATTCAAAACTTCAAACATGTCGGAGGGGAGGAAAGGCCAGTTACAAACCCGATATACAAAAATAAGAAACCTTGGCTCGGGCTCATTCGGAGATGTATGGCTTGTGCGCTCAAACTTTAGTTTCAGAAACTACGTTGTAAAAGAAATGAATAAGAAATGTAATGATGAAGAGGAACGGGCAATGGCGGTAAACGAGGCGAACATTCTTGCTCAACTCAAGCACAAGAATATCGTCCGTTATAAAGATGCATTCTTTGACTGTAACAAGTTTTTTATCGTTATGGAATATGCAGATGATGGTAAGTCAGCATTCATTTCAATTTTTCAAAGAATTCTTGAATCTCGGGTAATCATTCTTACTCAAAGTAAAATCTCTTTTCTGCAACGGTTTGAAAAATATTCTTGCAATTGAATTAAATCTGAACGTGTGAGCGAAGGCATTTGAGCTCAGTACCTGTGAATCCAGCGTACAAGCGAACAAAAAATCCAGCGTACGTGTGAGCCAATGCAAGTTTTCTAGCCTGGATAGGACCATTTTCGATGTGTGATACCAGCTAATTTTCCACATGCACATTTTTTTTAGAAATCTGAAGACCTTTTTACTTCAACTATAGTAGCGTAAATTTTTTAGTTAGAAACCTTTCATAAAGACTTGCTTCTTTAAAATTAAGAAACTCTTTTCTTCTCTTTAGCAGTTCAACTCTCTTGTTTTTGATGTGGTTTTCCAATGTTTATAGATAAATGTTCCAGTAAATTTTTGTACTTAAGTGTCATCTGAAAAATGCTCATTCTCTTTAGCAACATACCTTTTAAACTTAAGGTGAAATACAATACGGAATAGGAAAAGGAACAATGTTGAGTAAAAATATGTAAAGCCTAATATGTAAAGGGCTCTTTTTTAGTCTTGTCACCAGTATTTTAAAGGACAATGAATAAAATTAATAGCAAGACAAAAAAGGCAAACATTAGGATTAGCAAATTTCTGCAGTTTGCAAGATCTTGTAGAAAATTTGTCTACATTTGCCAATATTCATATCATCAAATTTTGGTTGAATTCTAAGGTGTTTAAAACCTTGAATGTTTTTTGTAATCTTCTTTGTTTCAAGAACTGCACCCATTAAACATTATCCAAAAAAACTAAGCCTAGGACAGAACAATATGTCTTCATGTCTTTAAAAAGTATTATGATTAACTATATGCAGTATTGTCTAGAATTTAGAGCAGATCTGACATTTTGCTTGTTTGCACTTAATCCATCTTCTTGTTTTTTTCAGGGGATCTTTCAACCAAGATAAAGAAACAAAAAGGGCGTAAATTTCAATCTGCAGTAAGTATGCTTCTTGAATTCATATTATGAGCAAGTATATATGATTGAATTCATTCTATCTTTTCCTTTTGTTGAACTACAATACTATCTTTTAGGTAATGTTTAAATGCTATCCATAATATTCAAGAATGTTTTGCTTTTCTATGCTATTCTAACAAAGCTCAGGTTGCATGCATTCTTTGTTGTAGCAAATTCTTGATTGGTTTGTTCAATTGGTAATGGCAGTTAAATATATTCATGATCAAAAGATCCTTCACAGAGGTTAGTTTATCATTTTTGAACTTCTTCTTTTGTTTTCAAATACCACATATCAATTAACAAAACCTTAAGATGATAAATATGCTGGTATGTAAGATGTAGGGACTTTGAAAACCCAAAAGTTTGGACTGATTTCTTTTTATTTAGTTAACTAACAAACCAAGTGATTCTATTATGTCTCCTCCTCTTCTGCAGATCTCAAATCCCAGAATGTTTTTCTGACAATGGCCGGAGTATTAAAAGTTGGAGACTTTGGCATATCAAGAGTCCTTGGTTGCACCTCAGAGTATGCACAGACTGTTGTTGGTACACCTTATTATCTCTCACCGGAAATATGTCAGAGAAAGCCGTATCCTTTGAAAAACACTTTTCCTGATAAAAACATTTTTAATTCTTTGTGCAAGCAACGTTTTTCTATGGAAGGGATTGTATGTCAAAGTACTAGTTTGGGTTTGTAATGTCTCCTTGAATGTAGTCAGTCAATTCCAGGTATGTTTTTGTAGGTAACAGTGCAATTGTAAGCAGAGAAGTAAGTAAAATCTATTTGTTTTTGTGAGTGATGAGAATGTCTTAACCTATTTTTTGTGCAAAAATGTTGTTGGCCAGGAGAATTTTTATAATTTCACTTGTCAATCCTTCTTGGTTTAGAGTACTTTAGCCAGTTAGTGCTTTATTATGGCAAAATTGTTGAATGACATATATTTTGTTTTGTTTCTGTCATTTTATAACAATCATCACTTTTACTACTTATTGATTAAATTGTAGTAGAAAATGATTCCCTTTTCTCTATGCAGTAGCAATCAATGTTTCAACTACATTTTCTATAAAATATTTCACTTTGGATGTAATTCTACTTTTCTTGACCGACCAATAGTTACAACCAGAAAAGTGATATATGGAGTCTTGGTGTCATTCTTTATGAAATGGCTATGCTTACTTATCCATTCACTGGAAAAGATCTTTCAGAATTAGTATCTCGAATTCTCCTAGGAAAATATGCTCCCATCGACAGGTATTGAACAATTGTTTTCATATACTTTGTTTTGATAATAAAAAATTTTAAAGAAAAGTTTGTTTTGATATCTTGAACACCTTCAAACAATCTTTAGAGTATTTTCTCAGAACGGTTTTTTTCGGAGCTACTTAAACAGTCAGTATTTAAACTCCTTTTCAAATGAGGAAGCATGTCATGGCTATGAAAAAGCCTTAAAGAATAACCCGAAAAAGTAGCGACAATCCTTGCCAACATTGTTGGAACATTTGTGATATGTTGATAGGGTAGTTTTAGACTTGCTTTGTCTGTTTGCATGCCGTAAGGGGAAGGCGTCCAAACTATTTTTGAAGTGAACCCGTCTTTAACTACATAGAGAAGTTTAAAGTGACATATTTTTATTGGAGTTTTCTATACTCATTTCCTTATTGCTTTATACATTGTCATTGTAATTGTTGTAATTGTATAGCTGACAGTTTTTTTCTTCAAGAATGGTTGACCCATTGATACGTGACCTTATTTTGATCCTTCTGCAAGTCAACCCAAAAGACCGCGCTTCAGCTGCTGATATACTCTGTATACCATCGTTCTTAGTTTTTGCAAAGACATTTGTCACTAAGATGAAGCAAAGTGAAGCCAGTGCGAGGAAAGACTCTTTTGAAAGCCCTCGAATTGAGAGGAAGAGAGACAAAGCTTTCAAATACGACGTAGTATTCGATTTGACAGTTGACGATAGTGACTTGAAGAAAGATGAGAAGAAAAGTCCGTTTGAAGAAGATAGTAATATGGAGCAAAGACGCAGGCAAGATTTCTGCAAAGAGAGCGTTATAAATACATCTTTGTCTTCGAAAGAAAAGAGGAATCATTGTATTCGTGGTCAGGGAAGTTTTTCAGTCAATGATGATTTGAACGGTGCTGCTTGTGAACCAGGTGGATTTCGTCAATATCAAGATACTTCGGAGAAGCGATTCCACCAATTTAAAGATTGTGACTTTGATGCTGTTTCTGTGGTCACTGTTGAAAGCAAATACTGCTTTGACTCGCAAAATATTGTAGGGAAGAAAAGAAACCAGAATGGTCCATCTTATGAAAGCTCGAAGAAACCTCGCATTCATGAAATCGATTCTTGGACAAGTTATCATTGCAAAGTTGAAGACCTCGGTTCCGTGACGAATTTCTACGAATTGATTCAATCGTCCTCTTATATTGAAGCTGGAGTAAACGGATCAGAACCACAGAGAAGTTTATCAAAAGTGAGGGAAACAGAATCTCAGCAAAATATGGAGGACTTCAAAGCTGAGGTTACAAGAAACATCGAAAACAGGAAATCGCTTCTAGATCTTAAAGGAATGTCTCCAAAAATGAAAACTAAGCTCTTGGAGAATGCACGTCGAAAACATAGTTTTTCTGAAGAGAGCTGCCAAAGGAATTGCACACGTTTTAGTGAGGTGATGAAATACGTGTTAGATTATCTTAGATTCAGCAGTACATTTATTTAGACTAGTAAATTTTCTTTAATATTTAGCAAAAAGTTATCAGATGAGAGATGTGACAAAATCAAATAGATAGGAGTTAGATCTGATAGTAAGGTTTTAATGTTGTGGTAACTTTTTATAATGCTTTTTGTAAAAAATTCTGTCAACAAAAACTTTCAACTGTCTTACGATTTAACTATGGAAAATGTGCAAAATTATATTTATCTGTATTTCAGCAGTTCAAAGAAAATTTTGCATCCAATGATGTCAAAGCTGCAGACTTCAATTCTCTAAGTTGTAAAGAAATGTTTAGCCATGAAAATGTCCAAGAACTGCCTTTTAACATTGAATCCGGTGAAAACCTTAGAGACGTTAAAACAGATCGTGAAATATTGGTATTTATTGATGATGATGAATTCTATCAAATCGTGAATGAGGGGATGAGCAACAGAAATAAACATCTGATCAAGAAAACCTACGGAATACAAAGCTTGGACAACATGCAAAGTGTTCAGATAGAAAATATTCGCAACAGAATGAAGCTTTTGCAAAGGACATTGGAGACCAGATTTGGCGCTGAGAAATTGTGTGATATTTGCAGATATCTCAAAAAAGAGAGACTAGCTTTGTTAGATGATCATGTTCATAGTCACACCCAAAAAGTCCTGGGACACGAAGCAGAAAGATCACTGACAATGATTTTTGAACTTTTACTGCTTGAAAAGAAGCTAGGAAAAATTTGTTATCCAGCCAACGTAGTTACGTTTCCAGAAGTAAGTTAGATCTGGTATTCCACTAAATTTATTCTTATATAAATAAATATTTTTCAATAGCTTTCAAAAATGCATATTTATTTTGTAACATTGAAAATTATTCAGAACATCTTATTTATTGAATCTTAATTGGTAGGATTGTGTAAAGGTATGAATTTCCCGTTACATGAGAGTGAAAAGACGAGAGATTGACGATCACGTCGCAAATCTCTAAATGGCTACATAATGTTTTGAAACCCCGAGCTTGAAATTTACGGAAAACATCTCTTAAGTCCAGAGATATTTAACAGTAGCAAGTGACTGGACATTTCCAGCAATTGATAATTCATGATTTTTAACTAAAAGAGTTTTTCGGTTACCAAGCGTCCCATTTTGGTTACAATTTAATATAGTGTATTTAATTTATTTGATTTAATTTATTTGATTAATAATTTGATTAGGTATATTTGACAAAGTTTATTGTAAGAATATCATATATTAATTGTCGCATTTGTTTTGGAAAGCCATTCTTCTTTCATTTGCCAAGCGATGTGTTCGAAATGTTCCAGTGTAGAGAGGTGTGTTAGGAGTATTTAGTTCAAGTTTATTACCAAACATTCGACCCCTTTCTGCTTAAAATGGAGCATAGGAAAGTCTTTGCTATTCTAAATGATTATATGAATTTGAACTTGCTCAGTTTTCAATCTCAACCAGCATCCAACCGCAAGTTTCTATAATGTGGCTTTGCCGTCGGGACGAAATTCATATTTGGGGGGGGGGCACCCCATTGTATTGCTTTCCATTCAGTACACTGTTATAAAGGGAATAGACCACAGTTTGAAGATATTTGGGGGGCTGCAGCTCCTTTTGCTTCCGACGGCTCTGTACTATATCTTTCTACAAAGCCACGGAAAGAACGGACTGCAACGGAGACTCATTAGTGTAGCCTCGTTACGATTCGTTTCAAAACTTCCCGTACTTACCACAGGCTTCATTGACCAGCTCATTTTAGCTTCTGCAAGAGAGCAAAATGGAAATCGAAGTCTTAGTCAACCAAAGGCACCAGTGTGGAGAAGGACCACATTGGGATCATGCAAATAACAGACTGGTCTTCAATGATATTTTTGGCAAAAGTGTTACTGTTGTGGATTTGGAAACAAAAGAGGTTAGTATGAGAGAGGCCTAGAATCGTGAAGGCCACGTGGGTTAATTGGAAGCCTCATGCATAAACCCTAAATGAATAACTTTGAAATAGCAGGTATTGTCAAAGTCACAAAGATTGGCTCTAGGTTATAGATGTAGAATCTATCATTTTGTTATCAGTATGATGTTATGTAAGAAGCCGCCATACACAATCCGTTTGTTTGACACCTGCGCCCAAAAAGACATTGTTGCATTGCATGCATATTTTACGGTACTCAGGGTTGCATGTATAAGGTGCGAAGAGCTACCAAACTGCCTACCCAGAGATGGAGAGCAGACACTTCAACCACATTTTATGTTTGCAAGTCATGTTTAAAATGAGCATAACATAAGTTTGCAAAAAAAGAAGTTGTAAGTTTATAGTAAAATTTCACAAATTTATTTGTAGCCTTACGCTTACATTGTTCATGCATCTCACATTCAGTGCTGATTGTAAATGTGAAAAATGAGGAGAAGAAGTTTTTTAAAGAAAAGAACAAACTTGAAGAATGCAAACTTGGGTTGCCTGACTTTAAAACAAACATTGAACTCTATCCTTTTCTGTTTTGCACTTCAAATACCAATAAGAACTAATTTTGCTTTTCAATATATCAAAGGCAAAAAGAGTTGATGGCATGCCTGATACAGTCTCAGCAGGTATGAAAACTTCAGTTTATGTATTGGTGTTTTAATTTATGTTTCATAGAGTTTAATGCTTGGTATTATCTTATGGAAGAAACTTCATTTGTTGTCAAGTGTCTAATGAAAGGAAAGCATTTACCATCAAAGATAAAAGCTCTATTAACCCCTGTGGGGCTTGTTTAGTCAGAAAGGGAGCACTTGAAAAGGGGGCTCATTAGAGAGGGGGCTTTTGAATAATTCAATTAAAAAATATCGTAAAAATGCCCTTATTTACTTTTTCGTTATAAAATTGTCATAAAAATTTTCTTAGAAATCTTTGCTAGCAGCATCGATACTATAATGTCCTATAATGTCATCAGGATCAATTAACTATCCCCTGGGACATCTTCTGGCGGCTTATTCAAAGTTTTTGCTTGATAACATAGCTTAATAGAGAAGGGGGCTCAAAATATGGGGGCTTAATAGAGCTTTTACAGTAGTTGAATTTAAGGATGTGTCAGTATATCTTATGAATTTATGAATGCTAGTACATGTAAAGCTAAGTTAATGACAATCAATAGCATAAAGGTATGATTGCTAGTACAGGAAAGTTAATAACAACTGATTTAAAGACATGAATTAATCAAAATATTTGATAAAGAATTAGCAACATTGTAAAATATTGTTTCCTTTTCAGCAAATCATGCCACTTGCTTGTTTGCATTCGGGGATAGACTCATTTTTTCATCCTACAAATGCTATCCTGTTAGTTGCAAAGCATTTGTTGTTCTTCTGTTATCTGGTACTTTTTTCTTCATTGTAGTTGTGCCAAGGGCCTCAAATAAAGATGAAGTTGTCATTTGCCATGGACAAAATCTGGAAATTCTGAATCTAGAGGTAACATACTAACTGCAAGTTTTTCACTCCTTCTCAATAAGCATCTTCAAAATCAAGGGGGCACGTTTTACCCAGATGATCTGGGTAAAAATACAGATAGATTGTGCTTTTCTCAACGAACAGCTTCACTCCAAAACAAAGATTGATGAAACTCTCCTTGCACATTGGCAAATTTTCAATCCATTTTTCTTGCACTACAATATCATTGATAAAATTATCCCACCAAGTGCTTGTTCTTCCAGACCTTTGCCAACACTTTTCTTCCCAGAAGCTTTTAAAGAAATCTTCTGATTTCGCATGGGCAAAGGAATCAAGACGTGCAAAACGCTTCAAAACTTCCTGTGAAACTTTTTAATAATTGATTTTTCAAGAAAAGTTTTTTTCCTAACAAAAGAAGCAAACTGATGGGTGCTTTGGATTCCTTTTTCAGACAAAAAAGAGAGAAATTATTGCCACAGTTGGTAAGTTTTATTCCAACAAGTATTTGCTGATGATTGTCCATTGTTTTAAGTTTTATGTTTCATTCAGATCATTCAGTGTCATAATAAATAAAGTGCTAGGATTAAATCTACAAAACACATGTATGCTCAAGGTTAATAGTTTTTTATTTGAAATATTTGTCAGAAATTGCTTAATAATTCTGTCTAAAATGTCTGAAATTCTGAATTTGAAATTGCTGAAATTGCAAATATTTAAGACAAATAAAAGACAATATTTGACCAAGTGTTTGCCCCTGCTGCTTGAGCAGAAAATGGCAAGCACTTAATAGAATTAAGAAGAAATATCTCACAGTGATTCCACTGTATCTATGATGGTAAACTCAACCTATGCGTGTATAAAGTACTTATACCTACATAATTTTTTAATCAATTATCATATAGTATGAAATTAAAAGAGATTCATTTAATTTTTAGATGAAGGCACAAAAAATAGATTGAATGATGCCAAGTGTGATCCAGTATGCATTCATTTTATTACTACTATGAATTAATGTTCATTTATTCAAAATGAATAGACTCTAATGAAATCTATGCATTGTTGAAATCATCAACATTAATAGAAGCCAGCACTGTTGATCAATTTTCTATACCATGATTTTGAATTGTTTGGGGTTGCACTTTTTCAGTCTGATAAGCAAAATGGGTGCTATAGATTTATGAAATAGCAACAGAGATAGGACCTGTTAGTATTTTATTTTTTAACCAGCCTTTATTATCCTAATTACCAATTGATTTTAGATATGAATTCCTTGATGGGTGCATGAGCTCAAGTATTCAAATCCAGCAACAGAAGGAAACAAATTTAGTTGGAAGGAAGCAATGACTATATAATTTGCTAGACAAAATCTTCTGTCCAGAAATAATTAGTCCTCAGAAGAGTTAATTTTTCTCTCTTGAAAATAAGAAATTCGATTAATTACAAATTTCCAATTTTAAGTTGTCACTAATTACAACCTTGATAACACTTGTAGTCAACACTGGAGTGATATTTTAATCATTTTCCTTTATTTAAACAGGTTGGAAGGTTGTGGGCAGGTATGATATTTATGTACTTTCTACATGGACATTTAATTTCCTTGATTGTCCATAAAATAGCACTTGGTTCTAAAAGTTTTGCTGACTTTTGCAAAACCTATTTATCAAACCTATAGATTTAAACCTATAAACCTATATTTAGGAATTGCTCAAACACTACTGCATGCTCTTTCTTTGGATTGATTTCTTTTGTTTTCTGATATTTGTTAGAACATTGTCATTAAGTGTTCTGAATCTAAACACATAGGATAAAAATCCTTTTTGTCTTAAGGCAGTAGGAATGTATCTGACTTATTGAGTGACAAACAAATAAGTCTATAAATAAATGAAGAAGTTAAATAAACCTCTATATATATTATATAAATATATATAGAGGAATTGCTCAAACACTACTGCATGCTCTTTCTTTGGATTGATTTCTTTTATTTTCCTATATTCGTTAGAACATCGTCCTTTCATTTAAGTGTTCTGAATCTAAACACATAAGATAAAAATCCTTTTTGTGCTATGACATTAGGAATGTATTGATAAAGATAGGAATCGATGAGTGACAAACAAATAAGTCTATAAATAAATGAGAAGTTAGATTGAATAAATTAGCAAATTAATTAATGTTGTAATTTATCAAATAAACAAACTAATTAAAATATGAAGAAGTGCAAGATGAAGTGATTGAATATGTGATAGCTGATTTTCAGATAAATGAAATATTTCCGTTTTTCCTTATGTTCTCTTTTTTACCTGGTGCTTAACTTCATATTTCTATGAAACAGGAACCATGGGCCCAGAAGCCTCTCCTGGCAATGTGGATCCAGAGAAAGGATCAGTGGTCTGTATACAGCATCGTGATTTCACTTTTAAACATAGGATATGCTATCAATGAAGAGGTCCTTGAGGTTTTCAACTCGTTAAACAAGTGTAAACTTTGTGTATTGCTGGATTGGAATTAAGGCCTATTCGTTGTAATGCTACATTGATCTAGTGAATTACTGATTTTATTCTTGATTAAATGACTACATTGGTCATGTGATATATTTCTTTCTAGATTCAGTCATTCAACTAGTCACTATTTAATAACTTGAGCCATACAATGTCACCATTTTCTGATAGCATACAAGTTTCGATTACATATGTCGCTACAATGAAATAAGTAATTCAAGGAGGTAAAAATGAAACTAGTCTGTGTGTGTTTATTCATAGGGTTGACCCTTTCTATCATTTCAGTTTTGTCTAGACAAAGACCAGAAGATTGTAAAGAAATTTGACAAGGTATGAAAACTTTTGTATTAAGAGAAATTTTCTGTGTTCCTGTTTTTATATAAAATTTCATGCTAATCTAACCTGTCTTATTACATACTTACAGGGCTCATTGAAAATATTTTGTGCCTGCGAGCGGAAAGCTGAGTAAAAAATGTGCCTGCAAGTAAAATTGGGTGCAACGTATGGTCAGATATTGATAGATTGCGTACCTTCCTTTCTACTGAGTTCCACTCAGTACTGTTACACCATCTTAAATTAATGCCACCGAGTTTTTTCTTGCATTTTCCTTGATACTATTTTAGTTTTACTTTACATCCAATACAT